TGTATATATATATGTACACACATACATTTCTTGGAGTTTTTCCTTGCACATTGCAACGGTTTAAGGACATAAATAGTCGTATTCTTTAAAACACAAATGTGTAATTTTTGATATTGCGCTATAAAATAGAACAAGATCAACATTATTATGGTTTATGTGAGACTTATTCCAAACTGACCCACACAAGTAGACAACAGGGTGTGGTGTGGATTTAAAAGACTTCCCAGCAAAGTACCTGTTTGAGAGCAGAGAGTTTGGGTGCGTGCTGCAGGTCCCGCAGGTTGGAGTTTTGACCAATCAGCTGCTCCGAGATGCGTTTGTATTCCGGATGCTGCGGGGTTAACACCAGACTCGGGTGGTTGCACAGCTTCCGCAGATACTGCAGCGCCTTAAACACATGTGGAAGGAAGGGGAAATATTACTGCATGGCCATAATAAGAAGCATTTAAGAGATAAGTAGACCGTAAGTATTCAACAGTATTCACAATAAATGCTTTTTAAAACATTTTAAGAAGGAAGAAAAATCACTATACCTAAGAATGTGAACATGGAACTTCTTAACCAAAGTTTCAGAGCAAGTTAACGTTTGGTTCCTGCATGAGATAACATCTTAAAGAAATGTGTACCTGGAAGACATGGCCGGTGGCCTTCAGTTTGGGCTTCTCCTCCTCTTCTGTGGAGGTGCTGGAGATACTGTCCTCCACACTGGCCTTGGCCCGAGACTTTGCAAAGTCTTCATACAGCTGAACCTGCAGGTAGTGAGAAACATACATCCTTGTTACTCCAGTTAGAAGGAGCGAGAGGGCTCACTTAACTTTCTTCATCGAGTTCAGAAGTTTGTATTTTCAATAGTTGATGTAGAAAATAGCCAACAATACAAGTGTCACGTCTTGTTGTTTCTGTTCCTGAGTACAGTAAATGAGCAGATTGTCATGTATCAGTATTACAGACTCCCAAACTTTCTGATCAAACATTTGAGGCTGATCAGTGTTGACTCTACTCAAGAGAAGACCTTGAAACAGGTATGATAAGACCTTTAACAAGTATAACGTGACTATTATATGCCATTGGCAAGAAAAATGCAACACTGAGGCAGTAAGATGATGTATTTTCATAGTAAGAGTCAATGGTGACCAATGGTAATTGGGGGGCACGGTTACCTGTAGAGGACTTAAATTGCAGTAATAGTCCTGAATTATTTTAGGAGGCAGGTCCTGGAGGACGTCCTCCTTCATCCTCCTCAGAAGGAAGGGCAGCACCTGTCGATGTAGGGCCTCCATCGCCAGGACACCTGAGAGACAAACAGATATTCACCAGTTAATGTTACTTCTTAAGTAACTGGTGCAGGAATGATTCCTAAAACCCGGATAGTTTGTCGGCCTTTTAGCAACGTTCCCTCGTCTTATAGTCAATGGTTATTTCACATGTTTTTGTTAGACGCCTGAAATAAGGTCTGTGGTTAACACAAGATGAAGAGACTTTCATGGTTTGTTCTACATGACTAAATGAGACTTATCAAAGAGCATCTCAGCAAACATTAGCCCCCTATAGCTTAGCGTGAACACATATGTGAATTCATGTGACTGTTCTGGAGATAGCATTTACACTTTAATGATTATTAAAGTGGTGTAAAGTCAAGATTTTCTTGCTGAACAAAACATTCAACCATCATAAATGTGTGATTGCCACAGATTTTATTTTCTGCAATATTCCAAAATACATTGGAAATATCCTTTTGTGTTTTTGTTGAAAGAACCCTTGTTATTTTCAACTACAAACATATACATCTCTGCACCACTCTATATTCAGTTAGAAATGTCAAAACACGACAACTGCAATATTTACATACCTGCCTCCTGTTCCCGTGAAGAGCTTTTGGCGTCGCGACTGGCCAGGATTGGTTTACCGTAGCGAGCTGCAAACTGACGCTCTGTTCCGAGGAAGCCCGGCATGAGGAAGTCAAACAATGACCAGAGCTCCAGGACATTGTTCTGAAGGTAGAGAGGTGAAAACATTCATGCTCTGACGAGCACAACAGGAAAAGGGTACAATAACAGTCTGATTATTGCGACCTCACCTGAATTGGCGTTCCTGACAGGATGACGCGGAAGTTGGCAGCCAACTGCTTGATGGCTTTGGAAAGTTTCGTCTTGCCGTTCTTGATGACATGACCCTCATCGAGGATACAGTAATTGAATTTGATATTTCTAAAAAAGAGTTAATGTTAATAATTGAGCGCTTGTCCAAAACACAAAGACCTTTGAGAATAAGAGTAATAAATAATCACCTAAAAAAGTCGATGTCATTCCGTACAACATCATAAGAGGCTATTATAAGATTGTGTTTTTTCACTTGGTGCTGCAACCTGGAAAATGAATGTTTGAGTAAGTCAATGTGCGTTTGTCTAACAACTAGCGTATAATAATACATCAAAAATAAAAAGTACAAAATGTTCATTTTAAAAAGGGTCAAATCTACAGGACATTCTCTGTACGCTGACAGGCGTAACGCACAGCAGAAAGTGTGACCAGGCTTTACCTCATCCGCTCTGTAGGAGGCCCGGTGTAGTGCAGTGGGTGGAGGAATTCTTTGGAGCAGAATTTGCCCACTTCGTCCACCCAGTGGCCCGTCAGCGTGGGGGGACACACCACCAGAGAGGGCATGGGGCTGCTGTCTGCTGCTTTAGTCTTGGCATATTCCTGTGCCCTGAATGAACATCAAACACAGGGAAGGCTGAGTACAGTCTACTTACAATGCACACCAAAGCAATTCAAACAGAAAATACTTAGAAATGCAGCAAAACAGCAAAGAAAATCGCTGGTGAAACTTTCAAACCAGACTGTCTATTGTTTAATAACACAGTATGTGGAAGCTTATTGTGGTCATAGATGATTAGCATATTATAAAAATACATTTTCATAATGTTTTACATAATTGTTTTTTGTGGGCCATCTTTAATGAGACATTTCATTTCACATTATCTCTTATATAGTACACAGTGGTACATATAGATGGCAAGATGTATCATGACTTCTACTATTATGTAGAAACGTGAATTATGTCAGCATTGCCAACACAATTAACATTAAAGGTGGGGTATGTAATTTATTTCAGAAACACTTTTTTGTTATATTCCATGGAATGCTCTTAACATCCCGATAGCAATGAATATCTTAAGTGCTTTGACAAAAAATCCATAAAAAAAATTCATCTGTGGAAGCCATAGTACTGTAAAAAGCCGGCCCGGCTAAAATAACTGGATGGCCTACCTGCCTGTCAGCCTTCCATCTGTGCACAAACTTATCTCGTGCCCTCATTGGTCATATGCACGTTTGTGTGTGTTGGAGGAGGGGCTCTGTAAGGAAGTGGCAGATTTTTTTCCGGATGTGTATTTTCAAATTCTAGCGCACTAGCTGGTTTCTCCAAAATTACCTACCCCACCTTTAAATTAGAAGAAATAAATCATTAACGACCTCATATTTGGTAGTTAAATCCTCAAGGCAATATAGTTGCAGTAGTAGTGTGTGGTGAGAACAGTATTTTTTTTTGCGTAGTAATCAGCAGCGAACCGCTTCAACGCGTGTATTTCGGTTTATTCACGGCATTAATTTTGTTATTGTACAGTATTGTTGTTTTATAATTATTAACCCAATTTGTGTTCTTTGAAATTGAAAAGGATATTGCATTGTGTTTGTTACTTTCGTTGCAGTTGTATATGTCTTAAAGAGCAACTTCCAGGTTAAAGACACCTGTGAATAAATGTGTAGGAAAATGATGAATACACTAAATTTTCGAAAAAATATACAGAAATATACACTTCAGTGACATCTGGCGTCGTTTTTGTAAGAAATTTTCATTTCCGCATAAAAAAGCCTCGGCACGTGAGCTCCCGCGTGTGACGTAACATTGGGGAAACAAGGGGGAGAGCGGCCGGTGTAACGTATTAATAAACATGGATCCCAATGCTAGTTTCGACACAGAAGACACAGAAGAAGTTGAACATGAATATTCGAATGCATATGACGGACCACAACCTTATAATTATGAGCCTGCTAGGCGTCCAAGAGACCAGGAGCAGCCAAGGATTAGAAGAAATAACGGCCATCGGAGAGAAATTGAGCTGTGGTGTGAGGAGAACCAGTGGAGAACTGGGCAGCTATCTTGGTGAGGGAACGGCGTTAGCTACAGAATGTTAGCTAACGTCACATCACAACATTGTGAAGTTAGCTATCATATATCAGGCTATAACTAAAGTAGCATTGATAATATAGTAACGTTCCTGGCAGGACTGTTGATACTGATCCATAACAGAAACTAATGCGCAAGTATCAGCCGTATCTCGCGTTACCTAATGCAACTCCACACTACGGTGCTGTGTACCGGAGGAGAGACGCGAGATACGGCTGATACTTGACGATCTGGCGGAGAAAGGTTGTGGAGCCTCCGTTGATATGCCGTTGTAAATGGCTTGATGGAAAGCAGGTGTGTAGTCGGGGAGGGTGCACAGCTGATTGCAGCAGGTGA